AACCACCTCTAAATCACTCCTGAGTGGAGTTGTGATCCCCTCAGATTGTGGGAAACGGTTTTAAAACCGTTCAGCTCGTGTTTGAACGAGTCAAATGCAAAATCCGCATTCTGGCTTGAATTCTGTGTTCAAACGCAGTGTCTGGAAGCTTGAACGCAGCGTCTGGAAGCTCGGACGTAGCGTCTGGAAGCTCATTTGCAGCAATTGGAAGCTGCGTTTGTAGCGATTTGGAAGCTCCGTTGGCAGCTTTCGAAGGCTGCGTTTGCGGTCGAATATGAGCTGCGTTGGTAGCTGGATCTGAGCTGCGTTTACAGCATTTAGAGCTGAATGTGAGTTGCGTTTGAACAGCGTCAGCGGCTGTGAACACGGTGCGTCTTGATGCTGGTACGCGGGGAGGACTTCCGCATCTTTGATTTGAAGAGACCGTCTATTTGTAGTCTCTTTCTGTCAAAGCGTTGCAAAGATCGTCATTTTGTAATCTTTGTTTTAATTCTTTGATATGTGAGAGTCTTCAGATTGTAACTCCTGATGTTGATTGTGAAGGCTGTTGTTGTGAAGATTATCAGATTGTAACCTTCATTGATGAAAGTCTTTAAATTATAGCCTTTTGGAAGCCGTCAAATTGTAACTTCCATCATCGGTGTTTGATGGGGATCAGCTATCTGCAGTGATATTTAGACAGCCTACACATACAAGGAGGGTTTTATCCCCAGCCAGTGGCAGATCACCACGAACCCCACAAAGATAGCAATGGCATTCGACTTCATCTGTGCTGGTGAAACTCCTAACACCGTAAATACTTGTCTGAGGAAGGGGTGCACGGGTAGTCTTAGGCCACACTCCAGATGCCTCACATAGACCAGACTTCGCTCCGGTCCATGGTCATATATAGCCTCCGACCTCGTCGGAACCAATAGATCGTACGCCTTAGGGACATTTAACCTCATCGTACGCCTTAGGGACATTTAACCTCCTAGGGATTGTCCTCTTCTATGGCAGAGTCAATTTAGAGTGAATCTCTACCAGGAGAGCTCGATGATCAACTAGATCAGAAGCCATCAGAGACTGTAGAAATTTTCGTCGGATGAGATGAACGAAGAAGAACTTGAATTCTCTAGAGGGGATTTTAAAAGACAATAGCCGTCACTCTTATGGCCCTATTCCAATATATAGACAGCTGATTTTACAGCTATCAGAATTCAAACCATTGGATCCAGCTGTGTCCAATGGTCAGAATTCACTTTCAAAATTCGAAGCTCCCACATAGATGAAGGCGCAACCCACTTACCTTGAATAGCCTGTGATATGCTAAAAACAGAGCTGTAACAGTAAAAAGGATGTATGGTGATGTCAGCCACGTCGCCTCTGAAGTGACTTTTCAGTTCTCATTCAAAGCCCGCACGTCCGTCCAAAATAAAATTTTTATTGTATTTTACTCGGACCCGGCTAAAGCCGACTCCAAGCGAAAGGGGCCAACTGTTATGACGTTCCCATTTTTTGCCAAAATGCAATTCACTACCAATCAGTGGACATGCATATTTCCACATACAGTGCCCAAAGCAACTTGGCGGCCCAGGCCCAACAGGAATTTTGACTTAGCCGACTCGTCGAATCGATATCCCTTTATGTTGACTCGAGAGGCGGTACTTGTCGCCCCCTATTGTCAAAAAGACGACTCACTACGAGTCCACATGACCACTTGTTCAACGCCTCACGAGGATGACTCGAGGGGCGTTACTTCTCGGTGAAGCTAAAGGACCATTTTCACCTTGAGCTTCTCTCTCTGGTAACATGTCAACATCCCATTTAATACTTGGTAGGTGCCATCATGACTCTAGCACTGATAGTCTTCATGACTCATCGGACCAAGTGAGACACTGCGCCATACTGCCACTCACTTTGTATTTAATGCTGAAGTGATCTTTCTCCCAATCACGAGCTGACACATGTAAAGCAAGTGCTGACGCAGCCACCAGCCCATACTTCACCACCGCCTCTCAGTGCTCGGCCAAAGTGACCAACTTGCCCTTACAACTATAAATACAGGTCCTATTTCAACTTGGGTTGGATCCTTAATTCTGGATTCTAATCCAAATTCTCAGATTTTACAAATCATACTGCACACACACAAGAACTCTTACAGTTCTTATTGACCCCATTCAAGTTAATCATCTAACTTAGTCGTCGGAGGTATAACGGGGTAATCAAACCCCGCCCTCTCACGAATTTATACACGTGCAGATTTTTCAGATACCCAGCTCAAGAATCAGATATAAAGTTAGGGGAGAAAGCGGCCCGCTCATTGATCATCAACAAACTCATCCAAACACTGATACATATTGACTGTGTGATCACTTAATATCAACATTTGGTATTGGGTGGTAGGTGAGCGTGGTGAAATTATAAAGTAGTCTTTACCCACTGAATTAATGGTGTATAAAATTAGAAACAATTCTTAGATCAATTCATTTATCTCCAAATCACTTCTTACTTTGTAGTATTCTAATTCAAGTATATATGACATCATTAATGAATTTTATGGACAAGAATCTATATTTTGCATTGGGTGATAGTTGAGGGACGTGAAATTATAAAGCAGTCTTTACCTACTGAACTAATGGTGTATAAAAAAAATACTTGTTTCAAGTATGATGCACGGGATTTAAATTATTATTCTTGTATGTATATCAAAATTTTTGGGAAAGAGAGAAGACAAAATAAGACTTTTTTATAAGAGAGAATAAAATCAATAATTTATAGGGAATTGATGAAAGACAAAAAATAGAGATTCCCAAGATGTGGAGAATACTGGATTAAGATAAGATGTTGAAAATAAAAATAATTTAATAAATTTTAGAGTTCTTAGAATTAGCTAAGTGGTAAAAATATGCAATCAGATTTTTTGTTTTATTAGTAGTTTTGATTAATGAATTGAAGCAAGACTAATGTATACTTTGTCCTTACGACTGAACTGAAGCAAAGGCGCGTACTCTATTTACGGGATTACTTCCTTATATGCACGTGACCGTTTTATTCGTGACGAGACAAATACTTTGTAGATTGGGCTCTGGAGGAATTAGAATTAACATTTTCACAGTTTAGATATTTATCTTAAAGGAATCTAAAGGTTGTCTTCTCCTTCGCTATGAAGCAAGGCCTTCTTATTAGCGATGGCGTGAGCAAACTATGCTAAACGTCGGGTGGAAAGTGATTAGCGAATTATTAGATTAATGATTGAAGTCGAGGAACGATTTGTGTGCACTGCACCTGCACTGGTTTAGATTGATTAATTGTTGTCATTGGTATTACTATTATTTTCTGGTTGCTTTGTTTGATTAAGGGACAGGATTAGGACAATGATTTGCGACAAGTGCATTAGATTAAGAGGTTTGGTGTTGAAACAGTAGTCAAATAGGTAACCTACACTAAATCCCAAGAATTTTCAGTTTTTTGCAGTAAACCCCGAATAACTTTCAAAATCAGATTAAAACCCACATGAATTCTTAAAAATCACATTAAATCCCCCATTAACTTTCAAAATCGCACTAAACCCCCAATAACTTTTGGGATTGTTAAAAACTCCTAGTAATTTTCAGCATTTTGCATACAAACCTTATAAATCAACAATACAAAATAAAAAAATAGGAGTCGGGACCTCAACCTAGCGCGAGCAAGAGGAAAACAATGATAGAAAAGAGAGAATTCTGTTTTTAGGGTTGAAAATATAGAAAGGTCATAAACGATTTTTGTTCATAATTAAAGGGTATTTTGGTCTTTTAGTCATGTGGGCTGCACATGCCACGTCAGATGTAACAATGTTTACTTTGGGTGTTTTTTTGCAAATGTTATTAGGGGTTTTGAGTGATTTTGAAAGTTATTTAGGGTTTTGTATGATATTTTTTAAAGTTCTTGAGGGGTTTAATGCGATTTTGAAAGTTATTGAAGGTTTACTTCAAAATGATAAAAGTTCATGGGGATTTAATGAACTCACCCTAGTCAAATTGACTCGTTCTGTAAAGTTTGTGATTAGGGCTACCAAGGGATAGAGTTAAAGAGGAAGAAATTTTCTTCCTTCTATTGTCCTTGAATGCATGTGAGCTTTTTTCCATTCAACAGACGAGTTAGCACCTTATTTTTTAAAATTTAAATAATGGGCTTAAACCCCCAAAGCAACGGACGAACAGCCCATTCAACAGCTAAGCTCATATGCTCCTGATCTTGGAGGCGGTGAATCAAACAATTGATCGATGGTCGCATTCACAGAGCATTTCAAAAAGACACGGACAACTAACCGCTACCCCGCACATGCGAGTTGCTCTCAACTGCTCACAGGACAAATACTACGGACCAGTTTATGACACACTTGCAATTTGCAATGTTTTAACTCCTCTCTATTATCTTCTTGCAATGAGCAGCATACTGAATAGAGAAAATTTCTGTAATTTAATGTTGCTACTTTTAATTACTTTCTAGGGAATTACCGCATCCTATCGGAACTATCTGCATCTATTCTCTACCATTTTGTCCACTCTACTAATGATGGAGAACCATTCACTGGTCGGTTATAATAGTACGTGAACTCCTTTATACGGACCTATTTCTTATCGTTTTTATTAAATTTAAAATATATTTGTTTCTTCTTATTTATCTTTGTTGAAGTCGTCTAAAGCTGTACTTTTATTTTTCTTCGTCAAGACATTTAGCTGCTGCTTAACTAGTTATTTGCCTCTTGGACACTCTCCCTTACGCTTCTTGGTTTGACTCGTAGGATCAGTTGGCTTCCAACTAAGAACTACTTAAAACTACTTCCAACCACACTACACTGAACACCTCTCGATTGTACTGCTCTTAAGCAACTGAGACTGTCGTAAATATCAAGCTCTCAAATTTATTAATTAAAAGTCATGTTTCTTCGTATCATATATATAATACAGAAAATTAGGCCTTAGTTGGTGGGTAGCAGTCCAAATACCCAACCAAACCCTGAGTCACAGACAGAACCATTCACAATTTGAGGCTATCAACCCTAACCTCCACCAATTCAAATACTATACCATAATAAGAAAACCTTACCATATCACCATTATAAGTTCACAATAAAAATTAAAACATCACAATAAGAAAGAAAGACAACAATGAAGAAGAAGATGAAAATTTCTACATTGGCTTGTCTGCTAGCTTTATTCACATTAGCAACAATGTCAAGAGCTCAGGACTCCGCTTGTCTGAATGAGCTTGTGCCATGCCTGCAGTACATCAAATCCAAGAAAACTCCATCGAGAGACTGCTGTGATCCTCTGAAGTCGCTGATAAAGTCCGACCCTGGATGCCTCTGCAGCATGCTGGGTGGAAGTTCAGCAACAAAGCAGGCTAAGGTTAACATGACAGAAGCAATGTTTCTGCCAGTGAGGTGCGGGGAGCACGTGTCTGCTTCTATGTGCTCTAGTAAGCTTCTCGTATATATGAACAAATTTTAGCGTATTTCCGTGAGGATATTATAAAGAATTTGGTTTATTTGTTCTTTGCAGAGGTTTCCAGGTCAAAGAACAAAGGTTCAAGCTCAGGATCAAGGTTTGTGAGTCCAGATGGAATGATGATACTGTGCTTGCTTCTCCTGGTTCAGATTGCATTGGTGTTGATTGTATAATATGCTTACGGATTGTCATTTTTGGTGTCAATATTCCTTGTAGAATTGTTACAATATCGGGTTTGAACCATGCAATTCAATTGTTCGGTGCATTTAGTGTTCATGAAGTCTCTTCCACTATATTAAGATTTTGAAGTTACGGTGAGATTGAGGAGCATAAATTTTTTGTTTCTGTTTAAAATGCAGGTACCATGGAAATTGAACCTGAACTGCTACATTATCATCTTTCGAAGATGTGCTAAGGATTAAGAATTGTATGTTTACACTCTAACCAACACAATGAGGCTTTTTACATATATAAACATATAGATAGATCAAAGCGCACTGCAACTGCAAAATTTGATAAAATTTAGATAGTTCTTAAATAAAAACTACAAGTGTGAAAATTTCACACTTACCAAAAAAGTGAAAATCTAAGAGATGTGCATCTAAGGTAATTAAACTAAATGGGACCAATATCTTGTGGTATCTTATCTTGCACATAGGCAGAGTAGAACACAGTCAAGGCACCAACAGAAATGAGCAGCAAAAGCCCAGACGGGATAAACTTTCGTGTTGATGCTAACCTTATGCCTGAAACAAAGATGGAGGTGAGAAATAGCCAGACAGAATGATTTTTAAAAAAGAAAATCAAAGAAAGAAGTACCGAAGACAGAAGAAAAGAGGAAAGCAGATCCAAATGCAATGGCATCGCCCGCTTGCTTAGTCTCTGGCGATTGCATCAAGTAGTAGGCCTGTGCGCAAAAAGAAAGAAAACAAATTATCCATAGGGACTCGAGCCCTACTCCACAGATAATTCATACAATCTACATCTTCATATTTATTCAAACGTCAAAGTATAAACTGGTTGGTAGGTGGGGTGGGAT